TCTCTCTCTCTCTCTCTCTCTCTCTCTCTCTCTCTCTCTCTCTCTCTCTCTCTCTCTCTCTCCTCTTCCGACCAGCTGTTGTTTTCAGCTCTCTCCTTCTCTTTGCGTCGCCTGAATCGCAGAGAACGCTTCTAGCCGACGGCAATCGCCGCATTGGATCGCAAGCGAGTCTTATGCGCTTTCCTCAATAGTGGGAAGCCAGAAAGCCATGTTGGTGCACGCTGACGCCAGCATCATATATTTAGGATTGAATTGAATACACTGCACCGGTGCTGGATGATCACCGTTCAACACGCAAACTTTGTAACCAGTCTCCGCGTTCCACACGTGCACCCTGCCGTCCGTGGAGCCACTGAACACGAACTGTGAGTCTGGACTGAAGCTAGCCTCGATCGCGATGCCCTTGTTATTGAGATGGCCGGTGAAAGTCTGTAGGGGTGTGCCGTGGAACGCGTCGATCAAGCGGATCGTGCTGCCGTTGGTGGAGATAAGGATGGTCTTACCATCCCTGCTGAACTTGAGTCCAGTCCAGTCGCACTCTTTCTCCTGCGAGACCTTGAAGGTGACGAAGGGGCCCTTATCGAAGCTACGAAGGTCATACAGTTTGATGCTTTCGGAATTGACGCCCGCGGCGAAGATCAGTCCCTCGGGATCGTAAGCCGCGACCGGTCGTCCCGAAACGTTCATCACTCCGTGACAATTTGGCGAGCGTAGATCCCAGAGTCTCAGAGACTTGTCCAATGAGCCTGACAGGAAAGTGTCCTCGATCGGGCTGATGCACAGCGACACTACCTTCTTCGTGTGACCCGGGAAGTATCGTATGTACTTATTGTCGTGCAGGCTCAGATATCGAATAGTGTCGTCGATCTTCGTGCTGCTGTGTATCGCGGTGTTCTTGGCGTGGGTGAAGTGTATTAAGTCGACTCCGTACTTCTTCGAATTCACCGTACGCACCTGCGTGCCCTTCTCACAATCATAGATAACGATCTGGTCGTCCTCCGAACACGAGATCAGCGTGTCGCCGTTCGGCGAGAAATCGATACTATTTATCCGATCCGAGTTCTCGCGGAATATCTTGGCCACCTTAAAGCTACGCACCACATGGTCGACTAGCTTCATGGTGATGGACGGCGCGTCCTCGCGTTCGTGCCGTCCTCTTAACCTCTTCGTCTCCGCAATGTCTGCGCTGGCGTTGCGGCCGGGCGCGTACGCGGGCGCCGTGTCGCGCCTCGCAGCAGACTACGGAAGAGCGGCGGAACTGCGAGGCGGCGCCGAGAGCGGTACTTGAGAGCGCGAAACGAGGACCCGCCGCCGAGGTCGCCTCCGGGACGCGACGTCGAGAACGTGGACTCTGATTCCGACTTCCTACTCCTACTCCTCCTCCTCCTCTTCCTCCTCCTGCTGTTCCTGCTCTTCCTTTTCTTCCTCGGCTGCGGCTAGAGCTTCCTCGACGTCTTTCCACTGAGCTGCTCGCCAAATACGACGAAGCTGTAGCCCGTGCTCGCTAACTCCAATTATTCTCACTGTCCACTGTCCCAGTCCCTTGTTGCACGAGAACGGACGCCGTCGGCGAACCTACCCACCGCATACACCACAAATTCTGCCAACTGGAAATCGCTCGCATTCGCGAGCGCAGCGGTTGCGACACTCTTCCCGCGATGAGTTTCGGAACAGCCGTGTCGTCGAATCTTCAGATAATAGATGTACGCGATTCGCGGAAACTATCAGCCGATAGGGGAACAGACATGAATCGCGAATGTCTAGAGCTGCGTTCGCCTTGGATCACAGGGGTGCGTTCAGATTTCTCATCCGGGTGCACTCTATAGGTTTGTTCGGTTGCTTGTACTATTTACACTTTTACACCTAATGCCCGTTGCACACTAGTGCACCTCACCTTTGTACAATACAAATTTTCCAAAATACGTTCTGAAGACGCTTTTAGGATGAAGGGATGTCATCAGAATATTTTTAGGACGTTCTTTGAAGATGTGAGTTGTCTGAAAATAGCTAATATCCAATAAGTTTATTCGCATTAATTGAACTTTTTACACTTTCATACTTAATGCACATTAAAGCCAGCGGCACACGGTACTTGTTTCGTGCTGGATTGCTTGCTGGATGGAAATACTCTGTTTTGATTGGTGTATTTCCATCCGTCTTCAGAAATGCACCAATCAGCAAGCAATCCAGCATGAAAACAAGCATCGTGTGCCGCTGGCTTAATTCTTTAGAGGTTCTAAAAATGACGTTATGATTTCCGTTCGTGTTATGGCTCCTGCACACAAGACGCGATAATGCTTGCCGCGCGGCGGAAGTTCATGTAACAGCCAATCAATATGCTGTTCTGTTTTCCGTAATAACCTTCTAGCTCTTACGGAAAAACAACATATTGATTGGCTGTTGCGCGGATTCCGCCGCGTGGCAAGCATTACCGCGTCCTGTGTGCAGGAGCCATTGGCTTAGTTTATATCGTGCACTTGATACGCGTCTTAAATAGTAACTTTCTATTAGATAATCTTAATATCGACAATGCATATGAACAGCGACGCAGTCTATCAATACAATACGTTTTGTTGATGAGTATTATACCAGCTTAATATATCATTGTTTATATATATTGTCGATATTAAGATTATCTAATAGAAAGTTACTATTTAGTACGCGTATCAAGTGCATGATATAAACTAAGCCTATGATTTTAGGGAAGATCCATCACTCTCTCGATTAATGTCGGCTACACTGCGCCTCCACGAAACTTTCAAACATTTTGAGCGCGCTTTCGCGCTCAATATGCATTGCTAGTTATTCTCGTGTGGAAGATATTTGTTTACGCGACGGAATATTACATTTGTAAAGGATGGAGAAAAGTTCTTCGTGACAGTCGCCACGACACGGAAGGTACAGAGGGAACAATCCCAGACAGCATAAAATCTCCTGAGGACGTCCTAAGGACTGTTGTTAGGGACGTTTCATACTTTATTTAACCATTCATTCTTTCAAGTATTCTTAGGTGATATTCATAAATATATATAATTTTATATTCACAAAGGGAAACGGAAAATGCGGCGAGAGATACACATGAGGTAATACAAATTATGTGCATATATAAAAGTCGATGCAATGAATTATACCGCTGGATCATGGTTTAACGAATGGACTCTGCTATCCCTTAATCGCTTGTCAACGACGAAGTGTTATATTTAGAAATGACGAATAGCTGGAATAAATTTTTTTCTTTCCTTTTATTATACTATAACAACTTACATGCAATCCTGCCATACAGGTCGTCTTTTTTTTCTAATTTCTGTTATCGTCTCGACAATATCAAAGGTATTTCAGTGAATTATTAAGACGATTTTGTCGTAGTCTTGTTTAACTGTCGTTAGTATTTTATTTTAAAAATTCACGTCACGGATAATTTCACAGAAACATATATTTTGTTTGTTTATGAAATAGTTCTCAGTCCATTATCTCCATTGTTCAACGTGTACTTGTTTCCTATGTGACATACTATTCTTACTCTTTCTATTTCGTTGCTATTACGACTGCTCCAAGTATCAAGTATCATATAACAATACATTTCATAAAAAAGTACTTACAGCAATAAGTATGATTCACTTCTTATGCATTTTTATCATTCACTATTTAATTTTATGCTCTTTTGTTAGAGAGTTGCTTCTACAGTTGGTGTTTTATGCAGATCAGTTGCTAGAAAGAATGTAAAAACACAACACAATATAATCCACTTGACAGTCTAAAAAAAAAGAAGCTAAAATTGCATTATAAAAATATTGTTACTCATTGTTGTCGGTCTAGTATGTGTACTTAAAAAGATATGCATATAGGTAACATTATGCAAATACGTATTACATGAATACAAAATATGTTACAATATGCACACAGGCTTGAAGCAATGATTTGTCTTTTATTCTCTTTGTACTTTCAGCAGCAGCAGATGCATTGATTGTTTCATATAATTTGTTTTTACATTGAGGAAAAAAATACTTGAAAACTCATTTTTGAAAAGTAAAGTTTATTTTTGCTAAATAAAGTTCATTTCTGTGGGACAAAATTATATGAGATGAAAATATAAAATTTATAAAATATAAAAGTTTTTTCTTCGAATAAACTTTATATCTCACAAATAAATTTCCAAGTATCTTTTTCCTTGGTGTATTATTCGCGTAATCGTGCCGAAATTTAGTCGACGTGAGTTACATGACGTGATTTGAAAACTGCTAGAAAGGCATAAACGAAACATAACATTTTGTTAATTTACGATAGTGTTTAATTAACTCATTCGGTAAGAAATGATTTTTCTTTTTTTTCTTTTTTCTTCCTTGTGCTTAAGATAGACGCAGTTTAGATTTGAGGTAACGGAAAACTTGTCGACACGTGGAAAAGTGGACGAAGCAAGAGGTGCGTTATAGCGGAGATAAAATCGTAGCACGACACGATTATATGATTAACAGGCGCAATTATGTTCGTATGAAAATAGCGATAGAGCATTTCTTGGCATTTTCTTTTCTCTCCGTTATCCTCTACGTATGCGTTATACCACACGATTAACATATAAATATGTCGGATATATAAAATATTCGGGATACATGTATAAATTTGCATCTATCTCTTCGCATTGTAGCAACTCGCATTCTTACCACTACAAATTTCACTTAAGAATCATTGAGACGCATTTGCATCCATTCATTAAGTATTACTATCAGCACGACCGTTTATTTAGAACTATACGCGAATTTCTTGCGTCAATTATCCTTTACTTATATAGCTTTTTTTCACTCTCGGCGCATATTTTTAATTACTTCTCATTCTCACTCGGAGTCAGTTGCGGGAGTCACGTCTTAAACAAAACATGATTTGCCTGTCATGAAATTCAGGACAGGAACAGAAGCGCATATCACATCTCATATTAGCAATACGTGCGTGAATAAATAAATAAATAAATTCGTCTCCTTGTGTTTCTAGGATTTTACGGCGACATTAAACGATAATTCACTTCGTGTCGTAAACGATAATAAAGAAACTTCGAATTTAATGTTATCTGATGAGTCGTTTAAAATTTATACTTTGTCTCTAATAACAATAACAACAACAATAACAATGATTACAGTAATTACAGTTGCAGTAACTGCGAGAGTCCTTACGATTATTATTTGGTTTAAAAGATATATTATTACTGACTTGCATATGAGGAACATAAAATTACAGTAGCCCTGCATGAACATGCATGATACAGTGGAAAGATCACACATTATTAACTTAGAGAAAGAGAGGAAAGCGTTTATATAATCGTGCGAAAACAACGTTGAAGTCGACGATATGTCGTCGGACACGTTGCACACGTTCGATGAATCCTACTTCATTCTAAATCAGATCAAGCGTTCGGCAAACTTGCACACAGCAATAAGTCTTTTTCCCTGTCTTGGTCCCTGAACCTACGACTTCTTACGTTTAGTATCCCGTGACTTTTATTCCGATTAATTGAATTGAGATTAGCAACGCTAGTGTTAATCAGTATATGTGCGAGAAACATTTTGATTGATTTCAAACGCTTTGGAAGGTTCAGGGAATACAGTTCGTGAGAGATGCAACCGGAGCACTTGCATTAATCGAATGTTATAATCATGCTCGATCGCAAGAAAAAAAGAAAAAAAAGTTAACTTATAGCATGTTCTCTGTCACCAATGATTGATAGTATTTTGCATAGATGACTTTGTATAAGAAATAGACCGATTCGATTCTCAGTAATCTCTGAATACGTTTCGGACGTAAATCATGTATTGTTTATGTATGTATATGTATGTACACACACACACACACACATATATATATATATGTATGTATATATATATATGCACGTGTATACATGTTATGTATATGTAGAAATCATATTCGCGTATATGTTTATCGTAAATATTGTTTGCGTTCGTTTAGCCACGCATTAGAAAAATGCGTCTTCAAAATATCAGATATCCTGGATTTTCTACCCGGGCCGAAACGTTACGGTCTCTTTTTTTCCTTGATTTACCGTGAATATGTATGTTGTATATCGCGTGTTGAAATGTTCGTATTTGTGCAACCGATGAGATGATTTGTGCGGTATACATAAAAACGTTATACCATAGCGTGTCGACAGTGTCGTCGGATTGCGAATTCGCAAGCGTAACCCTAAATTTATGTTTGTCCTCTTATTCGTAATATATATGTACATATACATGTATTATTGCGCGTACGTATTAAAAACGTGTAAATTTTAAGAGCATATCGAATAATGCTTATCTTTACACACGCTGTCTTCATAAAAGGCCTCGTAATATTAGAGTTTGAGAAAGAAGGTATAAAATATATATATATATATATATATATATATATATATATATATATGTGTATGTATTCATGTATGTATGTATGTATGTACCCGAAGAAAAATGATCATATACGATATTTGGCGCGATATGGTCATATAAGAGTTTCAAGAGAAAATGTCAGAAAAGTCGTGATGATAGATTGAGTAATATTGAACATAAAATATTGAACACGTGTCCGCATTACCGAATGTATATCG